TCCCTGTAAAAGAACAAGGTGCGAGCGTCGAGGGGCACACTTTGACTGAGAAAAAACAATTTGCACCGGTGAGGGGGGATCAACAATAATTATTCTTCAAAAATTAGAGTTCAACAACAACAACAATCATTCCAAGACTGTTCGCTCCTACCGGCCCGCGTGTCCTTCACTTTGCATATCCCAAACCCTGGATACCCGCCCTCGTCGTCTTCGATCGTACCCCCTTTGGGGGGTTATATTCCTTCCTGGCCACGTGTAATTGGAGAAGCCCCTAGACAGGGAAACGAAGGGCGCGTTCGGGGCCTCCGTGGGCGCGTTCGGGGCCTCTGTGGGCTAGTTTTTGGGCCTGAGTGGGCAGTTTGGCGGGACCTCTGTGGGCGCGTTCGGGGCCTCTGTGGGCTGCGGCAGGGGCCTCTGTGGGCAGCGTAGCTGGGCCTCACTGGGCGCGTCTGAGGCGGGAGCCGTTGTTGTTGTAGCCGGGGGCCCAGGGGCACAGTTTGGCCCAGATGACTTTCCCTGTAAAGAAACAGGGTACAAGCGTCGAAGGGCGCACTTCGACTGAAAAAAACAATGCGCACCGGTGAGGGGGGACCAACAGAAATCATTCCTCAGGAATAAAATACTAACATCAGCTGACGTGCGAGGGAGAGGGAATCGGAAGGAGGGGGGAGGCAGCCGGGGAGGAGTGAGGAGCAGGAAGGTAAGAGTGCGGAAAGAAGTCATAGGCGAAAGCGCCATTCCACAAGGAAGTCTCGGGCGGCAGCCCACGACGGGCGGGCGATCCTCTGACGGGCGGGTCGGGCGGGTGGGACATTCAAGCGGGATGCCTGAGTAGGGCGAGAGCGCGATTCCTAAGTAAAGTGTGACGGCGTCCTTGGCGCGAGCGTGGTGCCTGGGCGTAGATAGCGCGCTTTCTGAATAAACTTCGAAAAAGTCAGAGGCGAGAGCGCGATTCCTGAGATGGGAATGTCTGGCGGGAGCGAGGGTCTAGACTAAAGCGCAAGGAAATCTCAAGCTGGAGCGCCGTTCTTGAGTAATTTGTAAGGAAATCTCAAACGGGAGGGGGGGTCCTGACTAAATTGCGAGGAAGTCACAGACGGGAGCGCCGATCCTGAGTAAATTGGGAGGAAGTCTTAGGCGGGAGCGGGGGTCCTGAGTAAAATTGGAGGACGTCTCAGGCGGGAGCGGTTTTTGTTGTAGCCCGGGGGAGCAACAACGCAGTTTGACCCAGATTAAATTGTGAGGGAGTCTCAAGCGGGAGCGCCGTTCCTGAGTTAATTGGGAAGAAGTCTCAGACGGGAGGGGGGGTCCTGAGTAAATTTGAAGGAAGTCTCAGGCAGGAGCTGTTGTTGTTGCAGTCTGGGGGGCCAGGGGCACAGTTTAACCACGAAGACTTCCCCTGTCAAAAAACAGGGTGCGAGCGTCGAGGGGCACACTTTGACTGAGAACAAACAATTTGCACTGGTGAGGGGGGATCAACGATAATTATTCTTCAAAAACGAGAATTCAACAGCAACGACGACAACAACAACAACTACAACAACAACAACAACAACAACAACAACAACAACAACAACAACAATACCAGCCAGCGCTGACTCCAAATAGATTGGACGCCACAAATGAAGGAATCGGAGGAATCGAGCATGCTTGGAATCCGCAACTCAGCAAGCAAGCAAGCAAGCAGGCAAACAAGCAAGCAAGCGCGCAAGCAAGCAAGCAAGCAAGCAAGCAAGCAGAGCAGAGCAAGCGGAAGCAAGCAAATGGTGCATAGGCATAGGCATAGGCATAGGCATAGGCATAGGCACAGGCACAGGCACAGGCAGCGGCATAGGCGTAGGCATAGGAGTCAGGGGGGAGGCATAGGCATAGGCATAGCCATGGGAATTAGAGGGGGGCATAGGAATTAGGGGGGGCAACGAACCAATTTGGAGAACAACAACAACAACAACAACAACAACAACAACAACAATAACAACAACAATCATTGAAGATTGTTCATTCTTGACCCCTTGCACGTCATCCTACATGTCTATCCCGAGCCCTCGATACCCGCCCTCGTCGTCTTTGATCGTACCCCCCTTGGGGGGTGGGCATACCTTCCTTGCATGCAGAGTGTAGTTGGCGAAGCCCCTGGCATGGAGCACGACAGAGATTGGCAGGAGGGGGGGCTCGGAGCTGGAAGACAGGCGGCAGAGCTAGGCGGGCGGGTCGGGCGGGCGGACCGACACGGGTGGCGGGTCGGTGAGCGGGCCCGGGCGGCCAGGTCGAGCAGGCGACTCGCGGAAGCGTCAGTCCCTGCATGGATCACGAGGAAGTCTCGAGCGATAGCACGCTTCCAACAAAAGATCGTGAGGAGATCCACGGCGAGGGCGCGACTCCGGAGCGTTGGGGGCGCAGCCTCCCAATAAATCGCCAGGGAATGCCACGCGAGAGCGCGATTCCTGCATAACTTGTGAAGAAGTCCCCCGCCAGAGCGCAGATCGACGAGGCATGTCATGCAGGAGCCGTTGTTGTTGTAGTTCGGGGGCCAGTAACCCGATCTGACGCTCAAGACTTTCCTTGGTGAACAACAAGGTGCGAGCCTGGGAAAGGAAACAGAAATTGAGAAAACACAAGGTGCACGGGAGGGAAGGGAGCATGAGCAATACGTATTCTTTAGACACGGCACTTCAACATCACCGTCACAACCACCACCACTCCACCTTGACCTTCATTATCATCATCATCATCATCATCATCATCATCATCATCATCATCATCATCATCATCATCATCATCATCATCATCATCATCATCATCATCATCATCTTCATCCTCATCCTCATCGTTTTCATCGTCATTATCAGAACAATCGTCATCGCCATCGTCATGTTCATTATCATCATCAGCATCATTTGCATAATCATCAACATCATCATCACCATCGCAATCGTCATCGCCGTCGCCATCGTCGTCTTCGTGGTCATCAGCACCGTGAGAAGCGTTATCACCGTCATCAACAACAGCGACGCCAACAGAAACAACACCAACAACCACAACAACAACCACAAGGACAAAAACAACCACAGCAGCAACAACAACAACAACAACGCGTGCCAATCAACACGAATATCCCGAACCCTCGGTACCCGCCCTCTTCGTCTTAAATCGTACCCCAGAGGGGTGAGAATAAGAGAGAGCATCATCACCATCATCATCAGCAGCAGCATCATCAGCATCAGCATCAGCATCATCATCGTAAGCATCATCATCAGCAGCATCATCATCAACATCATGAGCATCGTCATCATCATCAGCAGCATCATCATCAGCATCAGCACCACTATCAGCATCAGCATCAGCATCATCATCGTCATCAACATAATCGTCGTCATTATCAGCATCATCATCACCAGGATCATCATCGTCGTCATCAAGATTATCATCATCAACAGCAGCATCATCACGATCATCACCATTACAATCATCATCATCATCATCATCATCATCATCATCATCATCATCAACAACATCAACATCACATCATCATCATCATCATCATCATCATCATCATCATCATCATCATCATCATTATCGCCAGCATCATTATCACCATGATCATTATCATCATCATCAGCAGCATCATCGTCACTACCATGATAATCAGCAGCGTCATCAGCAGCATCAGCAGCATCATCAGTTTCATCATCAGCATCATCATCAGAATCATCGTCATCATCGTCGTCATCGTGATCATCAACAGCATCATCGTCGTCCTCGTCATCAGCATCAGCAATCACCATCAGCATCAACAGCAACAGCATCATCAGCATCATTAGCAGCATCATCATCATCGTCATCGTGATCGTCATCACCATAATCGTCGTCCTCGTCATCAGCATCAGCATCAGCATCAGCATCATCAACAGCAACAGCATCATCAGCATCAGCACCATCACCATCACCATCAGCATCAGCATCAGCCTCATCATGATCATCAACAGCAGCAGCATCATGCTCATAATCATCATCAGCATCATCAGCATCATCATCAGCATCATCAGAATCCTCATCATCATCAGCATCGTCATCGTGATCAGCATAAGCATAACCATCATCAGCAGCACCATCAGCATCAGCATCGGCATCATCATGATCACCATCAGCAACTGCATCATCATCAACATCAGCATCATCATCATCATCATCATCAGCATCATCATCAGCATCGTTATCATCATCATCATCATCATCATAGTCATCAGCATCAGCATCATCATCGTCATGATCATCGCCATCATCCTAATCATCCTACTCATCATCATCATCATCATCATCAGCATCATCATCATCATCACCATCATCATCATGGTCGTTATCACCATTATCATCATCAGCATCATCAGCATCAACATCAGCATCATCATAATCATCGTCATCGTAATGATCCTTACCATCAGCATCATCAGCATCAGCATCATCATCAGCCGCATGATAATAATTATAGAAAAAATCAGCAGCATCATCATCAGCATCAGCAGCAGCATCATCATGAGCATCATTGTCATTATCATCAGCAGCATCAGCATCATCATTATCATCATCGTCATCAGCATTATCATCAGCAGCATCATCATCGTCATTGTCACAATCACCATCATCATCAGCAGCATCAGCATCATCATCGTCATCATCATCGCCATCAGCATCATCATCATCAGCATCAGCATCATCATCAGCAATAATCACCAGTCATCATCATAACAATCATCAGCATCATCAGCATCACCATCATTATCAGCATCAGCATTAGCATCATCATCATCGTCATCGTCATCGTCATCATCATCATCATCATCATCATCATCATCAGCATCATCATCATCATCTTCATCATCATGATTGTCCACCCTCTCTGGAAGTATCCAGAACATCTTCCAGAACCCTCGATCTTCAACCGAACACCTGAAAAGGTATGCGAAAGCCAAATAACCTGGCAGAAAAATCCCTCCGAGGACCTTGTTCGGCTCGATCTTCTTCACGTCCGAGAGGAAATAATTCACCTGGGTGGCGGCTTCCCCGGGATACCTGCCAGAGCAGGCCTCCATGAAGTTGCGCGTGAGGACCTGCAGGTCTCAAAGTCAACGAAGTGCCGGGACATGCCTCCGCTGTCGCAAGACGGCAGTGCATCCTCGCCATCGGCGTGCGGAAAATCGGGCTCCACACATCGAGCCGCATCGGCGGAGCATCGGCGATGCGGAGCGATCCTCCGACTCCATCTACTCTGACCCCGTCTGGGAGGCTTAGAGCCCTCGTCCTTCTATCGTTACCTTTTCCTCCCTACTCCTCCCTCAGTCCCCAGGCAGGAGAGCTCAGAATCGAATCGATAAGTCGGATCGACGATCGAAATGATTCGGATCGGCGGAAATCGGCAGCCGAGTCGGGAAAAGTCGAATCGGCGGAAATCGGCAGGCTAGTAGGCCCCCAATGAAAAATCGGAACCCAAATCGGAATCAGAAGTCGAATCGAATCGGAATCGGGAGCCACCGAAATCGAATCGAATCGGATCGGAGGGATCGAAATGAGCCATGCCAGGGGTGGAGCGGGTGGCATTCGCTTCTGGGCCCCTGGCGGACTGGCGCTTCGTCCCCGTACACGCCTATGACGACCTTCTTGGCCTTCACGCTGAGTCGGGCCAGGGATCCGGGGAGCCCCAGCTCCAGCACGGGAAGAGGAAGGGGATGAGTAGTCGAGGAGGAAAATAGAGCGGCATCGCGTAGGCGGGGGAGTCGAGGAAGAGAATAGAGCGGCATCGAGGAGGAGGAGGAGGAGGAGGAGGAGGAGGAGGAGGAGGAGTCGAGGAAACGAGAGCGGCATCGAGGAGGACCAGGAGGAGAAGGCGGGGCGGGAGGAAACATCAAGCGGCGGCCTCGACGAGCAGCGTTTCCCCCCCCCCCCAGCAGAAGGGGCGCAGGCAGCTGGCCACGAAGGCGCACGCGCCTCTCCTGCTCGCTCCCGGCCTCTCCGCCTTCTGCCTCCTCCTCCTCCTGCTGCTCGTCTCGCCATCGCTGGGACGTCCAAATCCCCGTGCACGCTTCGACTTCGCGCGCATATGTGGCGCAAGAGGATCCGGAATGCTCCTCGAGGGTCCTCGCCCCCCCCCCCCCACCAAAAAGAAATGCACACGTCCGAGCGGTGCCGAGTCCTCTTCCTGGAGGGGCAGAGCAGGAGGGAGACGAGGCGTCCCCCGCTCTGCCGAGCTCGGGAGCGCCGGATCCCGGGCCCGATCTGTTCAGGGGGCCGATCTTGATCTTGAACTCGCAGAAGGCGGTCACCCTGGGCTCCCTCCTCGCCTGGGCAGAAGGGGGGAGGAGGAGGAGGAGGAGGAGGAGGAGGAGGAGGAGGAGGAGGAGGAGGAGGAGGAGGAGGAGGAGGAGGAGGAGGAGGGAGGAGGAGCCGGAGGAGGAGGAGGAGGAGGGAGGAGGAGCCGGAGCCGCAGGATCAGAATGAGAAGGATGGAAGGAGGAGCCTCCGCCATCCCTCTCCGGCTCCTCGGAAGAGGTGGGGGTGGGGGAGGAGCACTCAGACAGTCTCAAGAAATCTGAGGGTGCTTTGATGGGTCCAGCAAGTCCTAGGGGCCCTAGGACCGTCTTGGACCGCCTTGGGGGCTTATTGCGGCGATCTTTGGGGCCTCTTGGGGCCCTCGTGTGAGTCCAATGAAGGACCTCTTGAGGTTCTTTTGAGCCGTCTCGAGGCCCTCTGAGAAGCACGATGTCGACGAAACGACCCGCCGAAGCCGAAGCAGGTGCTGGATGTTTATACCTCCTCGCGTAACCTCTCTTGATGTGAAAGGGAAGCACGTGAAACCGAAAAACTGCGCAACAATGTGCAACAACATCAAGGTCAATTATGATGCAGGTGGGCCCCACTAACCGCCACAGGGACCATTCTACCTACGTAACAAGAAACTTAACTAGGAGGTGCACCAGAAACCCGCTGAGGTAACAGGTGCGCTCGGAACCTCCAAGAAGCCCAGAATAACACACACGAGAGTTTCAAAGACGCTGCGGCCTGAGTGAGCACATGTCGATAACGTGGACGCTCCATTTCGGCACAACCCTCGCACGCATCTGACCCAATAGGGACTTCCATCTACTGCATCTGCTAAGACGCTCCTACACCTCGCCATGACATATCGGCACAACCCTCTTTCAGGTCGTGACTCATAAGGAGCTCCACCTACGGCCCAAACAAGCACGGCACGTCCATGTACTGTCCCCTCCTCAACTCGGAAAACCCCGCACGCGGACCAGGCCTTATTTGTTGCAATATAAATATATGATGCTGGAGAAAGTCCCAATCAAAGTCTGTTTGGGCTATAGGGCGATGAGGCTGTGGCGCTATAGGGCTATGGAACTATAGGGCTATAGGTCTATAGGGCTATAAGGCTATAGGGCTATAGGGCATAGGGCTATAAGGCTGTAGGGCAATAGGGCTATGGGGATATGGGGGCTCTGAGGCTATGGGGCTATAGGTCTATAGGGCCATAGGGCTATGAGTCTATAGGGCTATGGGGCGATAGGGCAATAGGACCATAGGGCTGTAGGGCTATAGGGATATTGGGCTATGGGGCTATAAGGCTATAGGCATATAGAGCTATAGGGCAATAGGGCTGTAGGGCTATAGGGCTATACGGCTACAAGGCTATAAGGTTATAGAGCTATAGGGCTACAGGGCTACAGGGCTATAGGGCTATAGGACTATAGGGCTATTGGGCTATTGGGCTATAGGGCTCTAGGGCTATGGGGCTATAGGGCTATTGGGCTACTGGGCTATGCGACTATAGGGCTATATGGCGATAGGGCTATAGGGCTATAGGGCTATAGGGCTACAGGGCTATAGGGCTATAGGGCTATAGGGCTATTGGGCTATTTGGCTATAGGGCTCTAGGGCTATGGGGCTATAGGGCTATTGGGCTACTGGGCTATGGGACTATAGGGCTATATGGCTAGAGGGCTATAGGGCTATAGGGCTATAGGGCTATAGAGCTATAGAACTCTAAGGCGATAGGGCTATAGGGCTATAAGGCTATAAGGCTATAGGGCTATAGGGCTATAGACCTATTTGGCTATGGGACTATATGCTTATTGGGCTATGGGGCTATAGGGCTATAAGGCTATCGGACTATAGGGCTATAGGGCTAGAGGGCTATAGGGCCATAGGGCTGTAGGGCTGTAGAACTATCGGGCGATAGGTCTATCAGGCACCGGGGCACCCGGGCACCCGGGCACCTGGGCACTGAATCCGCTAGGACCTCTACGGAGGCAAACTCGAATTTGGGAATACGAAAAACAAGAAAAAAGGATACGGGAGAACAACTCCAAGCAAAGCCTTTTCAGGGCTATAGGGCTATGAGGCTATTGGGCTATAGGGCGATGGGGCTATGGGGCTGGGGGCTATGGGGCCATTGGGCTATAGAGCCATAGGGCTCTAGGTCCATGGGGCCATAGGGCTACAGGGCTGTAGGGCCAGAGGACTACAGGGCTGTAGGGCTATAGGGCTACGGGGTTATGGGGCTCTGGGGCTATGGGGATGTAGGGCTATAGGGCCATAGGGCTATGAGTCTGCGGGGATATGAGGCTATAGGGCTGTAGGACCATAGGGCTATTGGGCTGTAGGGACTATAGGACTATAGGACAATAGGACTATAGGGATATAGGGCTAGAGGACGATAGGGCAATAGGGCTATAGGGCTATAGGGTTATAGGGCTACAGGGCAAGGCTTTAGGGCTCTAGGGCTATAGGGCTATAGGGCTACTGGGCTATTGCGCTATAGGGTTCTAGGGCTATGGGGCTATGGGGCTATGGGGCTATAGGGCTATGGGGCTATAGGGCAATAGGGCTATAAGGTTCTAGGGCTATAGGGCGACAGGGCTGTAGGGCTATAGGGCTATAGGGCTGCAAGGCTATAAGGCTGTAGGGCTATAGGGCTATAGGCCTATAGGGCTATGGAGCTGAAGGGCTATAATGCTATAGGGCTACAATGCTATAGGGCTACAATGCTACAATGCACCTGGGCACCTGGGCACCTGGGCACCCGGGCACCGGGGCACCCGGGCACCCGGGCACCTGGGCGGGCCGAAGAAATCGGTGACAAGCCTCACCTAACCACATGAATCCGCTAGGACCCCTACAGAGGCAAGCTCTGATTGGGGAACTACGGCCCCAATATGTAAATCATCAACACTCCCACCTCACTTCCGCAAAACCCCCGTGCGAATCATGCCCCATGAGCGATAACGATTCGCGCCTCTTCGAACAGGATTCCCTTTTTCCAACAATGCCAGAGCTGCGCAAGAAAGAACAGCAACATCAAGACAACATGTGAAATAGATAGACCCGCTCCCTGAACTTCCACAGGGGATATACACGTACACACGCCGTGTGTCACACGGCCACCAAAACGACCAAAACAAATAACTATGAACACACGGGTCGCACACCAACGGGAATTCCAAAGTGCCTCTTGGACATTCTCGTAGTGCCATCCCGTTGCCTCCAGAGGCGATGCCGAGACCGATGTTGAAAATAGCTGTTGTCAGATCTCCGACCTAAGACACTTTTTACCTAACAGCTTTTGCTGATAGGTATCTAGTGGTGTCAAAAGAGAGCATCATGACTCCTCAGGGGGGTCTGGGCGGGTGCCGGGGAGGAGAACCGGGAATCGTTTTTCGCCAACAGTCACACACTTCGTGCTCTTCGACCTCCCAGAACTCCATTCCCGGGCCACATTCTGGAGAACCGGGAACAGAGCCGGGCTCGCTTTTCGCCAACAGTCACACACTTCGTGCTCTTCGACCTCCCAGAACTCCATTCCCGGGCCACATTCTGGAGAACCGGGAACAGAGCCGGGCTCGTTTTTCGTCAACAGTCACACACTTCGTGCTCTTCGACCTCCCAGAACTCCATTCCCGGGCTACATTTTGAGTGCCTGGAGCCAACTGTAGGCCACTTCGTGCTCTTCGAGTTCCCAGAACTCCATTCCCGGGCCACATTTTGGATGCCCGGAGCCAACTGTAGGCCACTTCGTGCTCTTCGATTCCCAGAA